GAAAAGGGACTTACGTGGACGGCGGAATAGTACCCGTCAAATGAACATTTAGTTTTAACAATTTTTCTGCAAGTGGCAAGCTCGTATCTATCGGTATAAAAATGATATCGTCTTCATCCTGGGTTATTGTACTAATAATTTTTGACACACTATCCTTGTGCTTACGGGTAAATCAAGTCTCACTAAATCTTCCCATGTCAAGCTCCCTTAGTACGGCAAAATTGAATCAACATATCCGGCGTTTGCATCCGCCATTACATAAATTCATATCCCCCATGTGAAAAAATATTCACTGTTTGAATCTATTTATAATTTTACTAATGTTCCTTTATCCCCGATCTCCAAAAAGATAAAATTTCGGACACGTGTCGTTTCACCATTAACGATCCTAGAGCAAATCCACTGCCGCTGTCAAAATTATCTTCGTCGTCAGCAGAGTAAAGCCGCATAAAAACAAACCCGAGTTTTATTTAGATCCCTTTCTGGGAACCGAGGTCCTCAATGACAAATGCGCCGTATTTCCTCGGGGCCTATAAATAACGCCATTTTCATGAAATTTTAAAACGCACCGAAACAACGTTACAAACAACCGAAGTGGGTCACCATTTATCGCCGGTCTGAATAATATTACGGGCGTCGGAAAATCCTAATCGCGAAATGCATTTCGCTTCGCTTAATTCCAAAAATAGCGCATACACGCTTAAATTGAGTGCGAAAGCGGATTATAATCTAATTTTACGTCACGTACTATTCAAATCAACAGTCGGTCCTAGCTGGAAGCCTATCGTGGCGCGGGGAAAAATAAAATTTGTAAAGGCGATTCTCGCGATAAAACGCAGGCCACTGCAATATTTAAATCGCGGTAAGCGCTTAAACTCTCCACGGAAATAATAGATCAACCCCGAATGTCAATTGCCAATTGCCCACGCGAGCGAAAGCCAGGCAACCAACTAAACGCGCCATTGCTTAGGCAGCAAAAAAGAAAAAGAGGATTTAGATTTGGTGCGTCCTGCTAGTCTTAACTTATTCTATATTATCCACATTTCTATAAGTAACTGTTTGAGAAAAAAATCTATTTTGTGTTTATGTCAAACCTGGTAGAATTACAAGGCCCATAGACATTTTGATTGCTGCGATTTATCAACTGTTAATGGGAATGTTTGGGTGCAGTATCCACGGAAGTCCTCAGATTTAGTCTATTAGATCTTGTGTTTGAGATAGGCTATGTTTATCATTTTATATTTTTAATTTTATTACAAAAACTAAATTTACATACCGTGTATGCCAGTAGTGGCAACGGATGTGTGTGCGAAGTGAAAATGCTGAAAATTATTTCTGAAGTTTTGAAATAGTTACCAGAGGGCCTAATTGTCATCTTGTGAAAATGTTCTTGTATCAATGATACTTAGAGTGAAAATTGTTTTGAAGCTGGAACAATTAAGATCTTTTGTGTTAGATGCTTTTTACTCTATCTGACTTTATTCGAACATTATGGAAACTAAACATTGATAACGGCAAAACAAATCGATCGAAAGGAAAATCAAAGGTCTTTATAAACCCCTCCCGCCATTTTATATGCAGGAATTTATCCTGCGTCGAGTATTTAATACGGCTGTACTAATGTCAGCTCTGTATAAGTTGGCTACAGCATCTTGGAGTTTGATAAACAATAGTATATTATACAACAAGTGCGGTAAATGGCATTTGACTCGCGAGTTTATTTGACACGAGCGGAGCGAGTGTTTAATAAACGAGTGAGTTAAAAAGTTTGCCAAACGTGTTGCATACTATACTTTTTCTACTGCCGTTAACTGTCTGAATTGACAAACGTCAAAATTCAAAGCGTGGGAAATATCTCCGAAAACCCGTGCACCAAAAACCCGGAAATGTCCGAAGTGACTCGGATTACTGGCGAAACTGACTTGGTAAAGCGACGCTTCCCGCATGCTAGATGGTGCGTAATTAGGTATTTTAAAAATCTTTTATTTTACCCCAAAAGTACACTTAAAAGACGGTAAAGATCTGACAGGCCACGGAAATAAACTGTCCTTTCCTATTCAATGGTTTAGACAAGTCTGGTCTAACAAATTCCTAACTTCGTGAGAAAAATATGGTGGACATCAATCCTGTTGCAGCCCCATATATCTTTTCGTTTGTAAGTAAACGAACTTTAATTTCTGTCAACGAAATGTTGTTTCTCTCAATAATATCTGACTTACAAAAATTAATTTCAACATAAAATAAGTATACTATTTCAATAAATCAGGTAAGAATAATACAAGATTTAATTTCATTTATTAACAATTACAAAAAGCACCAAAATTCATAAAATAAATAAAATTACGATAATTGCTCATTTAAGCCTCTAGAACTCGCATGTTATATTTTTTGTTCTTCAATTTGCAAATATTTCGTTCATTATTTTCAATACCATAAATAGCGAATCAAACCCAAATCTTATCTTATCTTATTTTTTTTCTTTGTTTAATCCATTAATTTTCTGTTATTTCATTATAAAAAAAAATATTTAGCTAATTACAGATTGTACTTTTAGTCTATTTTAATCGAGACTCAATCTTTACCTTTGTTTTTGGAAAATTCTATATTTAAATTTTAAAAACCGATGCACCGATGATTTTATAATCTTTGAGCCACAGTTTTTAATATTTTCCACTAGATTTTTTCTAAATTATTGAAAATTTATTGAAATAGTTGCGTATACTCTTAACTATTATTGGGCTTTCAATTTTAGGTTTTGTAGAGAGCAAACTTTGATATGAAAATACATATTTCCCAATATTTCCTTGTATTTTCCCGTATTTCCTTCGCATTTCCCCATAAGAAAGTAAATATTTCCTATGTGGTTTCTCCATTAGTAACTTAACACTTATTAAATTTTATGTATACAACGTTCTAGAACGAAGTTTACTGGGACAGTTTCCTTGAAGGATCCAGGAACCGTCTATCATCATGTGGCTATCCCGTCGTCCTGGTAGTTTTAATATCGTGATGGAATTCCTTGCCCCTGGTCTTCATTACAACAGCTTAAGTTTTCTGGACAGCAATCTATATGGCTGTGACAGTGAACTTTTAGACTCATGCTACAACAGCTACCTTATTTGAGGACCATAAAATATACTAGCTTTCAGTTTTTCCGTGCTAATCCCAGCAAATGTACAGGACAAGAATCAAAAACAATTTTCCTTCATAGGAAATATACTAAACAATATTTATTTATTTATGTATGTATTTATGTTTAAATCAAAAATAAAATTACAAATTATTTTTATTACCTACTTAAATTACTTACAATTTTTCACATAATATATCAGTATCAGTTCTAATTATTATTTGTTCTATATTATTTGCAATATGGATATACGATTGTTCTGCTTTTTCTCTATGTTTAACAGAATTTGCCCAATTTTGTGGAGGGATCTTAAAACTTCGGTTTCTGTAAGTTTGAGGACATTGGAGTTAACACGGAGAAAAACATTGTTACGCCGAATGGCAGATTTTAGTTGGTGCCAAACATGTTCAATGGGATTAAATATACAGTTGTAAGGTGCAGGCCTTAAAACTGGACGCCCTAGATTTTTTGCATAATTATCACAGTCGTATTCCTTTTGTAGGTTCAAGCTTTGTAGAACCTCAATTAATTGCTTTTTGGTATAATCTTCGTGAAAATAAACGTCCTTATAATACATGTAGTTTTGGATTGTTGCTTTTGTGTCACATGAGGAAGGGGTTTTATTCAACAGTCTACTGTGATAATTTGCATTGTCCATTACAATTACGCCATTAGGAGGAATGTTTTGAACTAGTTTGTTTTTAAACCAGCTTCACGGTAATCCAGAGAAAAATCTTTAATATTTTTCGCAGACAGAGAAAGTCCATTTGGAATCCAACCACCTTTAGAGCCAGCATGCATGTTATTCTTTAACCTCTTTTTGATGGCGCGTTTGTTTTACACTTATCAGTTGAGTTAACCCAACCCTTTTCCGGGGTATCGTAAGTGTCGAACCAGGTTTCATCCAAGTAAATAATGGGCCTTTGTTGTTCTCTGTAAATCCTCATTTTTTCTAGATATTCCAGCCGCCATTTGCAAATTCTAAAAGATTCCATTAAAACTTGCCTTTTGTCAATTTTTTTAAATCTAAAACATTTCCAGAAGGTAGTTCTGCCACATTTAACACCGGTTTCGTCTTTTTTAAGCCTCCTAATTAAGATATCTGATGTAGGCACGCTTTGTTCCTCGTATAACTGGTAAATTTTACGCCGTATTATATCTTGATCACTTTCATCTACACTCGAGAAAATGTCAGCATCGCTTCTTTTTTTCCTCGCTGAAATGCGATTTTTCACAATTTTTCATACAGTTGATGTAGGAATTTTCGTCAATATGGCCGTTTCGTCTAAATATGCTTGCTTGCCGGCACCACGTTCAATGAGAGTCAAATAAACATTGTTTATAACTTCCTTACTCTCAATAGAATAGTGTTTTCTACATTTGGGAGGGGGCATCTCCTGCGATACACTAGACTCGCATAATTCCACACGATTCAACACACGCTGTATTACACACGAAATAAGAATGATTACTAATAAACTTTAACTAAGTAGTATACCAAACCAAAGAATATTAAACACAGGTAGGTATAAAATTATTTTCTATATATGTACCACAATTTTACCTGAATTTAAATTCCGAAACTTTAGGTAATAATCTTGTTGCATTGTATGTTAATGACCACCCTTGGATAATCCCATTCAAAAGCAATTGGTCAGTTTCTTATATCTATGAACAGACCATATATATTTATTTCTTAATTTTGAGTGTAATACTCTTTAATGCTCAACTAATAACCTGTATCTCAACAATTAACCTGTATGTCAAAAACTAGGGCTGATAGAAAATAAATCTGGTGGCATTTCCAGCAATTTCTTTTAACTTTGTTAGCCTGTGCTATGTTACGCGTAGCGCTGAATGATATACTTACGAGAATCGTCATATCTGATACCCAAAAGTTCCGAGAAGCACTTCACTTGCGCGGTACCGTTCAGTGGTGTAGGCGGCCAACACAACAACAAATCGAAAGTGACGTTGCAAAATCCGCCACGATTCAACTTCGTCACCGAACTAATCTCACTTTTGTACAACCTCGTACAGTCCTCCATGGTGATGTTCGATCTGTACTCCAAGTCTTCGTCGAGGCTGACGTTCAATCCGAACCCGGTGGCGATGGGGTGTCTAGAAATGTCAGGTTCGGCGGGTTCCTGTTCTGGGTTAGTACCGAACCAGGACACCGAGGCGCCACGGGTCGCCATTACCAAAGATACTTCTAGGAAGCAAAATAGATTGAAGCGCATCCTAAAGGTTCATTCGTCTGAGGATACGAATCCGGATAGGTTTATTATGAGGTACCAGCGCTTTCGCATCTCTCCGATGCTTGCTGCTGCGTTGCTATATTGGTTTGGTTTGTTGTTGACCTGGAACAAGCAACGAAAATTCAATATTCGGTCGTTTAGGCGCCAATGATTCATGAATACGATTATAGTGCCTAAAATATCGTCATTTTTTGAGCTATTCGTTTTGAAGTAGTGATGGATCGATAATTCTTCTTTTTTGTTCAACAATTATATATTCGGACAAAGCTGGTTGCTCAAGGGCTACAATTCAAAACTTTCACAACAGGCACGTGTGTGCCGAAGATCAATTTATTCAATAATAGAAGATAGTTTCTGTTTCAGTTTGCCTTTAACATTTGGTTAGGAATTATCAATGACCATTAAGACAGCGCTTTCTTTCTAGCAAAGAACGTAATTCTTTTTGTAGAAAACGAAACTATGAAATTCTATTGTATTCTATAATTTTTCTTGGGGCATATTCATCACTGCTTGAATCTGGAATTGTTGTATAAATTGAAGCTGCAAAAAATAATCCCCAAATTTTATAAGAAACGGGTATCAAAACAAACCCGGCAAAACTCAAAATAATAAAACAATTTCACTGGACTAGAACCAATCAAAAAATGTATTCATTTATTTGAATTTCCTGATATCAGCGTGACAACTTTCAGTTGTGCTACTGTGATGAAACTTTGCAGTGCCCAATAGCCTAAATTTTTTATTGGGACAAAAATCAATTCTAACTAATTAAACCACAAGTAAAAAACAGCACGAATAAAAGGGCTACAAGATGTTCTTGATAAAAAAATATCCTTGTAACAATTTAGCAACAAATATTATTCCTAAACAAAATAGATAAAATAACGCAGAGTGAGTTATAACTGCAGACTGCAGAATCTGCACATCAGTTCAATTCATTAACCATTAAATTTGGTTGATTTTAATTTGTATAATAGAATAACTCATAACATTGTATAACATAGCTCGTTATATTTATATATTTTCTCTTTTGAGAGAATTTGTTAGTTGCTTAGTTATATAAATTTCTAGAATGTTACATTCTACATAAAAAGGGTGTTTGAAAACAAATGCGAAAAACTTAAGGGGGGTGACTACTTTAAAATATTGGGTAGGTTTATTTTAACAACAACAATAATTTGTCCACTACAGAAATACACTTTCTGATATTTTTTTATTTATTTAAAATGAGTGAAGGGGATTAAATTAAACCACCACTACTATTCTAGCCCTTCGTTTCTCAAATTTAAGCAAAAACGTATGCAAAATTTGATAGATATGTATATTATTTTTGTTATTCTTAGATAAAGAGGAAGGACACTTACTTTACATATTCACAGTGAAGTAAACACTTCTAACATAAATGGATACCAGTTTACGTATGCTTTTGATAATGTCATTCTAAGATGTGCAAAGTAATTTGGTATGTAAGTAATGTGAGCTCTAGCGCTTTGCTTTAACTGCTGAAAACCAAAACAAAAAAAGATGGGGCTTACATAGTAATCTTTGTTATCGCGTTTCGACTTGACAACGTTTGGTTACTTGACAAGAAAAGCTCTCCACAATGATAAACCTTAAAAGGCTTGGAAAGAGTTTATTTATTAGCTTAGGCCAATGTGGGCGAGTTTTTAGAGTAAGTTATGTAGTTTTGACTGAGTAACGAAATTGAAATATAATATCAACATACTTTAAGGGAAAGAAACAAAATGTCATGTCAGAGCCTCACCACATAATAATTAAATGACGTTGATAGAAAATAAAATAGAATAACAATTGAAACCAAATATAACAAACAAACAAAATAATATAAGAAAAACTTCTGTAAATTAATATTTAAGTCACAAGCAACATTTTTGAACTACTTATTCTTGAAAATCGCGCTTTGTAGACTGGTAACGTCAATGGCAACGCGAATGTTTTTTTTACATTTTAATTTTGACACTTATTGCTTTTTCCTATTACGTTTGACATGGTTTGACATGTTATGTCATTATTTAGTTGGAGTTTTTCCTAAGTAAAGTATCAATTGTCAGTATGCGCTTCGACAAGAAACAAAAAATTGTAATTTAGAAGCTTTTTGAAAACGACACGCGGTGGAGGCAAATTTACAATTGTCGAGGCAATTTTGGAAGTCTTATTTACTGTTATGAAAACAAATTTCCGGTCACGGAACAAGTACGCTAACTAACTTCATTGCATGGCGGCAGAATATATCTCGCTATTTTGCGCAGAACATCGAAGGGAAAGAAGTTTCTGGGAACTTATAAAGTTTCCATCGAAAAATTCGCTTCTTCGTGGACATTTCCGCGTAGCCTTAATCTATAATAGAAGTAGGAACTTACGTCGAGTAAGTATTGGCGTGCAAACTTCCACAACGAGAACACGGAAAGACATCAAACCACAAACGCGTCTCCGCAACCCTAGTTAAGGCTTAAATCGGGGCTACACTGAATAAAATCGTACAACCTACTACGTAGGAATTCTCCGTCTTAATCTGTACCGTATATCATTAATAAAACAAGGCATTTTTATCATTTTATTGTGGAAACTGTTTAAATATTTGTTTTTGTTTGAACGGCGATGTATGAAAATATAGGTAAATATGTTGATTTATGGAAAGGAGTGCGATAATGCCTTTTTTTTAATTACTGTTCAACAACCGTCTCGCATAGGTCAGGTACCTTGCGAGAATACCCGAAGCTGCACAATACGAATTTTGATACAAAGTTGTTTTTGAACTTTTATTTCGATTTTTATTACATAATGTGCGTGTACTGTGAAATGCATCACAAAGCGTCAAAGACGACCAATAAACCTTATTAACACCCGAGCGTTGATAAGTATGTATTTTATTATAATTTTAGACTCAGTGTAACTGCAACTAGAAATGATATAAGCATAGAAAAAATGGTGGTTAGGTGAGCAGTTCATAATCGCTCGAAAGATTGATTTAGCGCTCGGAACAGTATTGTCGGCCATTTGAAGTATTAGGAAAATAGATGGTCTTAGCAATCTTAGCAAAGTATCGATCGATCAAGACAAAATACCGGAAATTTTTTTCGAGTTTCTAACAAACGACCGTTAGTTTTTGGGTACATTTTCGCAAAACAACACGAATACATTCACCGACATGACCGTTAGAACTGACAAACGTCAAAATACAGGGCGTGGGAAATATCTCCGAAAACATCCGATGGCTCCCAAACCGCTGCGGTAAAACCCCGAACATGTCCGAAGTGGCTCGGATCCGTGGGAAACGAATCTGACGTCGTAAAGTGACGCTTCTCGCACGCTAGATCGGTGTGTAATTAGGAATTTTACAGAAGGGAATAGAAAAAGTATTTTAAAGCCAAGAAAAATTGAAATGTTAAGGGTGAACGCATTTTAAGTCATTCGGAGTGGTCAAAAAGGGCTTCCTTCCTTCTTGCTATGTGTGACGCCATTATGATTGTAATTTTCTGCAAAACAATAACTGCGACGATATGACCTTTGGACGTCACTAGCGCGTCCAAGAGCATAGTGAAAACTGCATGTGAATATTTTTTTTTCACAGGCTACTGTAATAGTTTTTACAAAACTTCTGGATTCCTCCTGCGTCGGTTTTTCCTGACTCGGACTTGGTGACGTTTCGCCAATCATCCTGTTGGCTTCTTCAAAGCATGACTGAAACTGGTCTGTATTTTACTCTGTACTTGCTTATATATTGTTTGAGGGAGGCGGAGCTAAATGTGGCGCATAAACACAGTCTCGGATGCCCATATTGGTGACAGGTAGAGACCTGAGGCGCGATTAAGATTGTTTGCTTGTTTATAGATTTCTATAGACACTCGGATTTTTCGTTGGTAGAAGATGTGATTACATGCAAGAATTTTTGTTTTATAGAATAAAATTTTATATCCGGTTTCATGAGCGTGTCCGACAACAGCTGATGAGTTTATTTGTCTTAGTCATAAAGCGCTTTCGTGTTCTTTGAGTCTAGTTGATATTTTTCGTCCGGTCTCTCCAATGCATTCTTTGCCGCATATGTATGGAATCCTGTAAACTCCTGCTATCTCAAATAGAATTGGTAAATCTGGTTTTGACGTTATACTTCTTTAGAACTTTTGATATGTAGTCAGTGATGTTTTGAATGTAAGGAAGGACCAGAGTGGCAATTATAGGATTGCTTTTGGCCTCATTGGTATTGGAAGGTTGTGGTAAAGTGTATTTTTTGATGGAACGCTTAATATTTTTAATATGGAAATTATTAGAGAGAAGAGCAGAGGTAAAGTGTTTTAATTCTGGGTTCAGTAACTCGGGCTGAGATAGTCTTACGGCTCTGTAAACAAGAGAGCTGATAACAGATAATTTTTGGGCCGGATGGTGATGTGACCATGCTCTAAGGTATCGGTCTGTGTGCGTAGGAGTTCTGTAAACACAATTATTATTAGGTTCCAACTCAATGGAAAAACGTATGTTAGGGTGTATAGAGTTTAAATGTCCAAGAAAATTTACTAGGGTTTCATGACCATGAGGCCAAATAACAAAAGTATCATCGACGTAGCGTTTCCTTAATTTTGGTTTTAGATGAAAGGTGACGAAAGCTTTTTTCTCAAAGGCTTCCATAAATACATTCGCGATAACTGGTGATAATGGAGAACTCGTAGCTGTTCCCGACGTTTGTTCAAAAATTTGACCGTTATAAGAAAAATATGTTTCCGACAAGCATTTTTCAATTAAGGTGCGAAGCTTTGGTTCCAGATTCTCGGACTTTAATATATCTGAAATGATGTCGGAAGTTTCAGGAATAGAAACTCTGGTAAAGAGGGATTCTACGTCGAAACTAACTAGAATATCTCGAGTATCTAATGTAATGCTTTTTAATTGTTCAATGAAGTGAAAGGAATTAAGTACGAAACTGTCAGTTTTCCCTGTGAGGGGTTTCGATAGGAAGCTAGATATTTTGCTAGAGAATATGTTGGAGAACTTGCTGACAATAGATCAAAGGGTTTGTGAATATTTGGGAGTCCGTAGAGACGAGGAATTTTAGGGTCATGAGGTGTAACAGATTTTTTCACGAAGTC